AGGCCCGAGGCCTCTTGAAAGAAGTGAATGAAGTTTATTGATTGTGAAATAGTAAGTTACATTTAGGAGCTGTTACAAAATGCAGAGGATGCTGGCGCCCGTGTGGTTAAAATGGGTTTTTGTCCTTCATCCAGATCTGCCCACTTACCCGATCCGTACAGGCGGTATCTATCTGTAAGTCGAGTTTTAAATTGCAGTAAAAAAAATAAATTTCGTCTTTGTTTAAATATACTTTTTTCTGTATACAGTAAAAATGTTGAAGATTTTTAAGTATACATTTTGAATAACCAGAATAGCCCATCAGTCTCAATTGATATGTTAATAATTGTATTTAAATTTGTATATGTTTCAGGGCCCTGCTCTATGCTTTTACAATGACTCGATCTTTGAGGAGGGTGACTGGGAAGGAATCACAATGGTTAGGAAGAGCAACAAACAAGACGATCCACTTAAAGTTGGGAAGTTTGGGATTGGATTCAAGTCCGTATATCACATTACCGGTAAGGAATAAAATGATCAAGATAATTACCATTGCATTGCTAGCATTTAATCAACAAGCAAATGAATTGCAAAAAAATAAAAACAAAAACAAAAAAACCCAGCATCAAAATGCTTTCAGTTCTCTGCACTTGATAAAGAAAATAATATAAATAAAAGCCGAGAATTACTATGGATCAATTGAACAATGATAAATATTATAAATAAAAAAAATTAGAAAACCTTAAAAATTGAAGAAAAAATTGCAAAACATTGTTGAAGCAGAACGAAATGCAAAACTTCAAGATATACTTGCATCCCAAAAATCAGCTCAATATCTGCAAGTGTTTAAAAATGTGCGGAAAACCAAGGATATACGAGGGTTGTTCAATAAATGTCCTGAGCTCTATAACGTACAATATAGAAATCATATGGCATTAAGATTGACTTTCTTACATGATTGAATCTTTAACAAATTGGTTACAGTTTATGTGACCACTTTGCATCACATAGTTTCATTATGAGAAGCTGGAAAACAAGGGCTATTCGAGACACTGCATTTAAAATGAATGGTAAAGAATCCATAAACTAGAGTGAAATTATGGGCCCTCCACACACACACACAGCTTATAATGTTCTCATATCACTGAGCACTAGTGTTAACAAGCATATCAACCTTTAAAAACTAGCCAGGAATTAAAATGTTTGTTTGTTCGTCAGCAAAAACCTTAACCTTTTCCATAACTTATGATTGGAAGGGGCTATGACTTTCATTTTTAGGTCACCCGAGTCACTCAGGTGACCTATTGCTATCCATTTTCGTCAGGCGTCGTGTGTCGTGTATTAACATTTGGACATTTTCAGCTTCTTCACTGAAACCACGGAACCAATTTCAACCAAGTTTGGTATACAGCATTTATAGCTAAAGGGAAACAAAAATTGTAAATTTTATGGTCTCCAGCACCCTGGGGCCTGAGGGGAGGAGGGCAAAAACCACTAAAATTAGTACAATCGTTAAAAATCTTCTTTACTCCTGGACATCAAGCAGGCAACTGTTGGCATGAATGTAATGAGCATTGAGTCCACAACCAAAATTGTAAAATTCATGACCCCAATGTCAGGGGTTCTAGTGCTAGGGCAGGGCTATATAGATTATATAGTGAAAATGCATCAATTCTTAAAAAAACCCTTCTTCTCTGCTCCTGGGTATTAAATAAACTAACTAAGTACATAGTTATGATGATCAAGAGTGCCTTTTCCAAAATTGTGAATTTTATGGTCCCAGGGTCAGGGGTTCTTGTGTTAGGACGGGGCTTTATTGATTATAGAGTGAAAATGCATAAATTCTTTGAAAATCGTCTTCTCTGCTCCTGGGAACTAAATAATCTAATCTAAGTATATAGTTATAACGAGAAAGAGTGCCTCAACCAAATTTGATGGCCCCAGGGACAGGGTTTTGCCATTTGGTGTAAGGAATGATTATATAATTAACATTAATACATTAATTCTTTGAAAATATTTTCCTTTGCTTCTTGGTTTTATGCCAATGAGTATATATATTTATGATGAAGCAAAATGGTTATTTTTATGCCTCCTTGGTCAGGGGTATCTGGAGAGTGTATGTGTTACATAGTCTGAAAATAGATTAATGCTTTGAAATCTGCTCTTTGGTATTAATCAACCATTTTGTGATAAAAATCTCAAAATTTTGAAAAATGTGGCCCCAGGATCAGTAGTTCCTTTGGAATGGTTCGCACAACTGGTTATAAAGTGGAAGTGCATTGTCTCTTTGTTACTCTGATCTACCTCTGGGTATAATTTAAATAGAGCAAGCATGCTAAGTTTATAATAATGATAAGCAATGGTGCCTCTTTAAAATTATGAATTTCATGACCTCTGGTTTAATTAAATTGTTGTAAAGTTGTTACATAATACTCAGGTGACTTATAAGGCCCATGGGCATTTTGTTCACATGTGTATTCCTTGTGACAAGATCTTTCTTTGAGTACCACCAAATCTGACCTCTTTACATTGAACTTTGTACCCCCCCCCCCCCCCCCAACATTTACCTTGGCCAAACGTTCAGTTGGTGCTCGGGCTTTCTTACTTAAAATGTCTATCAAGATTTTTCAATTGGTATAAATAATTTGGTATTAATGATTAAACCTTGGCGTTAGTGTTTGACCCACTTTTTTTTAATGATCATATAAAAAACCTTTTACCTTGTCCATTAATTCTGACATTTCGTATACAAGGGTTTTCATATTTCACTCTTTCCTCTTAATACCAATAATTTTGACCTTTTGATATTGACCTCTGAGTTTGACATGCATTTGTGAAACTTCAACCTTCGCCAATAGTTGCCATAAGGGGCATTAGTATTTCACAAATACATGTTGTTTTGTTAGCTCACCTGAGCCGAAGGCTCAAGTGAGCCTTTCTGATCACATTTTGTCCGTCGTCCGTCCGTCTGTCCGTCTGTAAACTTTTCACATTTTCGACTTCTTCTCAAGAACCACTGGGCCAATTTTAACCAAATTTGGCACAAAGCATTTGTACAATTTAAATTGTTAAAATGAAGGGACAAATCCCCTCACAAGGGGAGATAATCAAGAAAAGACAAAAATAGGGTGGGGTCATTAAAAATTTTCTTTTCAAGAACCACTGGGCCAGAAAAGCTGAAACTTATGTGGAAGCATCCTGGGGTAGTGTAGATTTTAAATTGTTCAAATCATGACCCACGGGGGTAGGGCGGGGCCACAATGGGAAATCAAAGTTTTACATAAAAATATATAGGAAAAATCTTTGAAAATCTTCTCAAGAACCACTGGTCCAGAAAAACTGAAACTTATGTGGAAGTATCTCGGGGTAGTGTAGATTCTAAATTGTTCAAATCATGACCCCCGGTGGTAGGGTGGGGCCATAATGGGGAATCAAAGTTTTACATTTAACTATATTAGAAAAGTCTTTGAAAATCTTCTTCTCAAGAACCACTGGAAAAGAAAAGCTGAAACTTATGTTGAAGCATTTTGGGGTAGTGTATTTTCCAAATTGTTTAAATCATGACCCCAGGGGGTAGGGCGGGGCCACAATATGGAATTAAAATTTTACATAGAAATATATAGGAAAAATCTTTGAAAATCTTCTTCTCAAGAACCACTGGGCCAGAAAAGCTGAAACTTATGTGGAAGCATCCTTGCGTAGTGTAGATTTTTTAGTGTTCAAATCATGACCCCTGGGAGTAGGGTGGGGCCACAATGGGGAATCAAAGTTTTACATAGAAAAATAGAGGAAAAATCTTTGAAAATCTTCTTCTGAAGAACTACTGGGCCAGAAAAGCTGAAACTTATGTGCACATGGAAGCATTTTGGGGTAGTGTAGATTTCAAAATGTCTAAATTATGATCTATGGGTAGGGTGGGGTCGCAATATGTATTACAAGGGGGAAATGTGGTAAAGAACAAAATGGTCAAAGCTTCTCAGGTGAGCAAATGTGGCCCACGGGCCTCTTGTTTTTAAAGATTGAACATTATACAATTAAGTATGATTTTATCTGTGTTTTGGTATTGAACATATACCTGTATTTGACATTCTTTTCAGATACGGTATGTGTTATCAGTGGAGCCAAAATATTGTTCATTGACCCCTTGTCTGAGCTTCAGGATTCAAACAAAGTTTGCAGTATTGCTCCAATATCATATTATGTTCATCCAAATGTGTGTGGTTCAAGGGGACTCGAACCATTGTACAATCTGTTTGGCATTAATAAAGCGACAGCCAGGAATGGAAAGTTCAAAGGGACATTTTTCTGGTTTCCCCTTAGAAAAGCACCATCAAAATTGTCAGAGAATACATATTCACCCGAAAAAGTTAAGGATCTGTTCAAGTCTTTTAAAGAAGAGATGAGCTCTGAGCTCTTGTTTTTAACCTCTATTGAAGAAATCGGAATATACAAAATTAAGAATGATAGTAACTGTTGTGAATCTGAATGTACAATTGCTATTGATCAAAGCTGTGTAGAGAAAATTAGAAATGAAAGACAGTGCTACAAGGAAAAAATCAGAGACATAGAAGTCAATATGGCAGAAGATGATAGATGGATTTGTCAATGTGAACCAGTATGGATGAAAAATATGATAACATACAAGATCAAGATGGATGATCTAGAGATGGAGCAAGTATGGTTCATAGTCCAATATTTCCATGCAGGAAGTATGCATAAAGAGCTTTCAAATCTAATCCGAAATCGGCGATCAACATACAGACCATATATTGGAGTTGCAGCCAGACTTGACGAACCAATTCAATATGGTCAGCTGTTTTGCTTCCTACCTCTTCCTTTTCAGGAAGAAAGTCCTACTGGATTGCCTGTTCATATCAATGGATTTTTTGCCCTCGATAGTAACCGACAACATTTAAAATGGCCTTCGTGTGATCAGGAAGCAAGCCAATCACACATCCAGGGTGAAATGCTATGGAATAGTCTAATGGTACAACTATTTTACCTATTGTTTACTGGGAGTTTTTAAGGTCGTGGCGAGACGATTCCTTTGGTTTTGAGTTGGTTGAGAAGTATTTGAAAATGTTCTATCACTATATTCCAAGGATTTCTGTAATAAAGAATCATTTGGCATGTATTGGAAAAATCATGCACGGCCATCTTCTCCAATCGCAAATTCCATGTCTTGAAAGTCGAAAATGGGTGTTCACTACTGATGCATATTTTGTTCTCTTTGCAACAAACACACATCAGGATGTACAAAATACCGTCAAAGATCTTTTTGAAAGATGTACAAATAAAATCATTGCTCTGAATGGTCATGAGGACCTATTTTATTACTGGAGAAGCCTTCATATCAACCACATTGTGAAAAGTACAAGTCCTCAAGAAACCAGAAATCTCCTCAAAAGAGACCCAAGATATAAAGAGATTCTATGTGACAGAGGTAAAGGGCACCTGTTAATCTACACATGCAGTGATGGAGTAGTTTCAGATTTAAGTGGAATAGAGTTATTACCACTTCAAAATGGGATGTACGAAACTTTGCAAGGAAAAAGAAAAGGGCCCCAAAAAACCTTTTACCTTTGTGAACAATTAGAGCTAGAAATTCTCATTGGTCAAGAGAGTTTTTTGATTTTAAACACATCTACCACAACAGAAGTTGGAAAAGTGCTGAAAAACCTAGCCAGTTCAGGTAAGCATGGGCACATATTCATACACGTATATATTTCTTTAGCACTTTTAAATAGCATTTAGAAGTATTCTTGAAACTAAGAATTTTTAAATTCCCTTTAACACATCATTAAAGTATTTAAATTTTTTTTTAGCTCTACTGGTCAGAGACCAGAAAAGCTTATGCGATAGTAAAGTGTCCGTCGTTCGTCCGTATGTCTGTCTGTAAACAATTTTTCAAAATGCTACTCCTCCTACAGTTTTGGTCTGATTTCAATATAGCTTGGCACACAAGTACACTTCACTAAGATGCACACTTTAGTGCATGGTTTTTATTATTTTGATGATAGGTGTTGCCATGGTTACTAAAAATAGAAATTTCGGTGATTATTTTTTAAAAAGTTCCTCCTCCTACAGTTTTGATGTAATTTCAATGTAACTTGGCACACAAGTAGACTACACAAAGATACATAATTTAGTGCATCGGTTTTTGATTTCGATGAGCGGTGTTTCCATGTTTACTAAAAATAGAAATTTCTGTGAAATTCCTTTAAATCGGTACTCCTCCTACAGTTTTGGTCTGATTTCAATATAACTTTGCACACAAGTAGATTACACCAAGATACATAATTTATTGCATCGGTTTTTAATTTCGATGAATGGTGTTGCCATGGTTACTAAAAATAGAAATTTCTAAGAAATACTTTCAAAATGCTACTTCTACCACGGTTTTGGTCTTGACTACTCTAAGATACATAATTTAGTGCGTCGGTTTTTGATTTCAATGAACGGTGTTGCCATGGTTACTAAAAATAGAAATTTCTAAGAAATACTTTCAAAATGCTATTTCTACCACAGTTTTGTTCTTGACTACTCTAAGATACATAATTTAGTGCGTCGGTTTTTGATTTCAATGAATGGTGTTGCTATGGTAGCTAAAAATAGAAATTTCTGAGAAATACTTTCAAAATGCTATTTCTACCACAGTTTTGGTCTGATTTCAATTTAATTTGGTATACAAGTTGCCACCAAAAGAGACTTAATCAAAGATCATTATTAAATTTATTGCTGTTGCAAAGTTTTAAGTCCAAATGGCTACTTTTCTCTTCCTTTGTTACAAGTACAAACCAGTAGAGCTACAGTCTCGTTACAGACTTCTGGTTAAATTTATAATTTTGGTTGGTGAATATACAGTATTTTCAAAAATTACTCTTATGCATTGTTGTTTTGATTTACTTTTTATACATTATTCTGTTATTTTTCAGGATACTATTCATTTCAAAGATTGTGTTCCAACAACTTTGTACACCTTCTAAAGAAGCTTATTAATCTACAAAAAGAGAAAACTGGAGATCCTATATTAGTAAAGGAAACCAATGTTATTTTTGAAGAATGCTGGTTAAAGAAGGTGTGGGACTATCTGAAAGATAATTGCCCGTTATCATTGGAACATGTAAGAGATCTCAATTTGATCAAGACAAGAGAATCGGAAAAGTTAAAGAAAATATCTGATTCATTTATAAGTGGAGTCGGTATGGATATGTTTCACATAAAAGTCCTTGCACATTTCAAAATTTGGGTCATTGATGAATCATATCATGACCATCTTTTGTTTTTACCAGGAAAAGGAATTGTAGTAGAATGTACTGATTATGGGAAGGGTAATCTATTGCAGCAGTGTTTAAAGAATGGCATTGGTTCATTCAACTTGTATTGTTCCGTCGCAGAAAGGGAGTGGTTCAAAGAATTTTTACCTGTTTCCATTCCAGAATCGTTAATCCCGAAGTTACAACATCTGAAAATCTTCAAGTGTTTTTCTAGTATTTACCTTTCAAGTCAAATTGGATACACGTCTTTGAAGGAATGTAGTGATATGTATGTTGGAGAAATGGACTTACCAATTCAGTTCCCTTCTGTTATGATTTTACCATTAACAACAAAAGAAGTAAAACTTCTGTCAGAGCTAAATGCAAATAAAGTGGATCTAAGTATGTGTGTACAGAAATGCATCGACAAAATTATGCAAGGATTTCATTCGTTGAACGATGAACATAAACGAAAATTCTGCTTTTATGTTTTAGAAAAGCAACCAATTTTACAAATTGGTCGATGATTCAAAAGGATTTAAATTCAATCAGCTTTATCAAAAACAAAGCAGGAAAACTTTGCTCGGCAAATGAATTGTATGATCCAAATAATAAATTTCTACGAGAGCTTTTTATTTCAGAAGACAAATTTCCTGAGGAAGACAAAACTCAAATGGATTTGCTAAGTCATTTGCAATTTCAGAGTCAAGAAAGTCAAGCATTTCAAAGTGATGTTGTGCAAACATGTCAACAAATTGATTCAAAAATGACTGACAACACGTTAAGAATGAGAAAGTCAAACGCCCTATTCTATGTATTTCAACAAAACCAAAGCCTTTTTATACATGTTTACAATTCAATACTTGGATGCAAAATAATCCCATGTAGAGAGAATGGGGATCAATTCTACCCAAAGAAAATGAAGTGGTACTCAAGTAAAGAGAAATTTGTTTCGTTTGAAATGGTTTATAGTTCAAAGTATGAGTGTATTATTGGATCAGTTCTACCACTGCCTGCAAAAGCTTGGGAATACTTGGTTCATTTACCTCGAGAACCTTTACTGGAAGACGTTTTGATGCATTTAAACAATATAATTGAAGATTACCACAAGGATGAGCATGTTGAGTACTGTTATATAACGAGAAACGTGTATCAATTTCTAGCCACAAAAACAGTATCTACTTTTGTTTCATTACTGCCAGAAAAATGCATATTTACGGAGCTTGGATTTGTGAGGATCAAAGATGTCTTCATAGAACGCAATTCAACTGATTTAAACCTTGACCCATATTACATTCCGATTCCTAAAGAATTAAGCACATTTGAAGGATTTTTTGAGGCTATAGGTTGTGAAAAAAAGCAATCTAACTATCTGCTAATTAAGGCTCTAGAGAAAATTAGAGAAAAGCAATCTGGCATAGAAGATTTGCAAGGTGTAAATGAAGACTTTGATAAAGTTCAAAAAATTTTGTGCAGATTATCTGAGTTTTCAGAGGAAGACTTGTCTAAAATAAGAGATGATATCATTGTACCAATCCACAATGAGGCCTCACAATGCCTGTCATTCAGGAAAGCACATGAATGTGCATACACTGATTCAAATTGGTACAGCGGAACATTTACAAATGAAACTAAGATTTGTCTGATTCATTCCAAGATTGACAAAAACATTGCAAAAAAACTCGGTGTTAAGTCATTGAGAAAATTCGCATTATCAGATGCAGAAGAAATTATTTCAGAATTCGGACAATCAGAGCCATTGACTCAACGCTTAAATCGTCTTTTGGAGGAAGGATACACGGACGGTTTATCTGTTCCAAAAGAATTGATTCAAAATGCTGACGACGCTGGGGCATCTGAAGTATATTTTCTCTATGACGAAAGAGAAAATGAAGGTGCAAGAAACTGTCTTTTAGACCCAGGAATGAAAGGATGTCAAGGGCCAGCACTGTGGGCTTATAACAATGCTGCTTTCTCTCCAAGTGACTTTCAAAATATTCAAAAACTGAATGGTGCCACCAAAAAAGAAGATACAACAAAAATTGGAAAGTTTGGACTAGGCTTCAATGCAGTTTATAATCTAACAGATGTTCCAAGTTTTGTGAGTGGAAAATACATGGTGTATTTAGATCCACATGGAAAATATTTGGGAGAAGCGATAGTGAATGAGAAAAGTCCAGGAATTAAGCTGAATCTTTACAATAAAACAATGCTTTATAAATTTGAAGATCAGTTCAAACCATATGAAAATGTTTTTGGGTTTAAATCATCAGTGTTTTCGGAAGACCGACCTTACAAAGGAACACTTTTCAGATTCCCTCTGCGTACAAAGCAACAAGCGCGTACAAGTAAAATAAAAAGGAAGGAATATTCAAAAGAAGAAATGGTCAGACTAATAAAGTTGTTCTGTAAATCATGTGGAAATATGATCCTTTTCACCCAGAATGTAAAAACAATTAAAATATTTCATAACGCAAAAAACAGTATAAATCCTGGGGAAGAAATGAAATTGATAATGACAGTTCAAAAAAAGGAAGAAAGTCAGTTGGAGCAGCATGATATGAATATTTTAGCTGCTGCTTCTCGATACTGTTGCAATGTGGATAGTAATCCTAGTTTTGTTGCTTTCTCTTTAACTAATGTCACGGTCGCAAGCACAGGACATTTTTGGCTTGACAAAAAAAATTCATTTACAGAAAACACTTACTGGGTAATAACATGGGCTTTAGGACATAACCAGTCATTAAGGCTTTTCAAGGAAAACAGAAGTGATGGGGCTTTTCCCATTTCTAGTGTTGCAGTTCCTGTAGAAATAAAGAATGGCCAAATAACACCTTTTAAACTTCATGGAGATTTTCACAGATATGGCTTCTATGAGTTAGGACATTTATTTTGTTTCTTGCCATTGCCTATCCCAAATGGAATGAATTTTCATATTAATGGAAGTTTTGCAATTTCCTCAGATCGTCAAAGACTTTTAAACCAAACAGAAGATGATAAAGACAGCACAAAACAAACAATATGGAATTACAGTCTAGTCACTGATGCCACTTTAGAAGCCTTTATCAGTCTGTTGTTATTACTGAAGGATCACTCGTCAGAAAGTTATTCGTATTTTGCCCTGTGGCCAACGCAATCTTGTGATACACTTTTGCAGCATTTCAAGCTTAAATTTTACAAAGCAATTGTTGTTCGCGACTTACCATTGTTTAAGACATACTGTGGCTGGAAAAGATTTCAAGAATGTATATTTCTGCACTGGGAAATGGAAGAAGACAAACATTTAAAACAGGCAGCTTCGGAAATTTTGAGGAAAAGCCCAATGGATGGTAAAACTTTAACAGAAATACCCAGAGATGTGTACAAAGAATTAGAGAATCATCTAGATGTGTTTTTCGAAAAGCATGTTGTAACATACGAGAAGTTTTTCATAGACTATTTTTTGCCAAACATTTTAATGTACCGTGGGACGAAGTATGATAAAATTGTACTACAGGCAATTAGATCAAAAAATAAGAATATTCTAACTGCAATTCAGAAGACAGACTGCATTAAAACGCCCCCGAATGGTGTGAGACGGGCACCTAAAAATCTTATTCACCCCCATTCATCTCTATCTGGACTATTTGTTATACAAGATGAGCGATTTCCAGCAAAAATATTTTACAGGGAGGATGATCTTGAAGTATTAGTAAGTCTTGGAATGATGAAAAATGAAATACCATGGGACCTTTGCGAATCTCAAGCAGGAGATGTTAGTGAGCTGTCAAAACAGTGCGGAGAATGTGCATTACAGCGATCGATGCATATAATAAAATATGTTCATAGGTTTTTTCCTCAAGTACCACAGAAAACTACAAAAAAATTATCTAACACGTCTTTTCTACCAGTGAAAGAAAAACCTGATGGTTGGCCTGTAAAATGGCACCATAAAGTCTCGAAAGGAAAAAGCAATAAAGAGAAGTGCGCTATTCATTCTGAGAAAGGAAAAGAAGAACCTATATCGTTTGAATGTCCTTGCAATATGTTCCTACCCACATGTGAACGTTTAGTAGGATGTACAAAAATAGTTCTCGGTAGATATGATATATTCAAGTCATATGTAAGAGAAGTAAAGGCTCTTGGAGTAAAATCCGAGACATATGTCGAATTGGAAACCCTGAAACATCAGCTCACAGAAATTACAAATAAAATAGAAAATGCTGCAAATAAGATTGTAGAAGACATATGCTTTGATATCTATACTGTTCTTCAGGGAAGAGTTACAGAACCAGACGTTAAAACTTTCATCCGTGATAATTTGTCAAATTTACCCTGTGTTCTGACGGAAAAAACATTTGCATTTCCTAATCAGGTGGTATTTTATTTACCACAAGATTGCAGTCCCTTTTTCTTTGGTTTGAAATCGAGACTTGCACACAATTTTCTCGAGTTAATGAAAGTCCTTGGTGTGCGGAACTTTGTTGATCCCGACGATATTGTAGATGTCCTTCTTTGCATCAAAGAAAATCACAGTGGAAAAAAATTACCAAGAAACAAATTACGCTTGGTTTGCAGAATAGCTAACCTTTTGGAAAATTTTGACTTGTTGTCAAATGATAATCTTTATCTTCCAGATGTAAATGGATACTTTATTCATGTAAACGAATTGTGCTTAGATGATTGTGCTTGGCTTCCAAGGACAGAATCAATGAAATTTCTAAATACAGAAATTACAATTAAAGTTGCAAAACTTGTAGGAGTAAAATCTAAACGAGAGCAGAATATCTTTGAGGAGTCAGAGGAATTTGGGGATGCATTTGGACAGCATGAGGATTTGACAAATCGTATAAACAGGATTCTCGATGGGTATCCAGAAAATAATATCATGAAAGAACTTCTTCAAAACGCAGACGATGCAGGGGCAACTGAAATGCATTTTATAAAAGACTTTCGTACGCATAAATGTGACTATGTATTTAGTGAGAACTGGAAAGAATTACAAGGCCCAGCATTGTGTGTTTTTAACGACAGTGTGTTCACAGATAAGGATTTTGAAGGAATACAGAATTTGGGAATTGGAAGCAAGGGAAATGATCCAACATTAACGGGACAATATGGAGTTGGATTTAATGTTGTGTATCATTTGACAGATGTACCGTCCTTTTTATCAAGAGATCAGAGAACTTCTCAAGATACTTTGTGTATCTTAGACCCACATTGCAAGTACATTCAACGTTCAACAATGGAAAAGCCAGGAAGGAAATTTAAAAATTTTTCGAAGAATGCCAAGTATAAGGACATTATGTCATGTTACTTGTATGGAAGTGAGTTATGGACATCTTCCCGTGGAACATTATTTCGTTTTCCTTTACGCTCCAATAGAGAGTCGTTGTTGTCCTCAAAATTGATATCATGCGAGGATATCGAGAGTCTACTAGACGAATTGAAAGAGGACATGGCTGAATGTCTGTTGTTTCTGCACAATGTTAGGTGCATAACGGTTTCGTCTATTAATATGGAAGGAATTCTGTCGAAAGAGTTTAGCGTTTCTTCGAAAACAAAACTGATATCATCAATTAAATCTTACTTATGTCATGCTATTGCAAATATCAGACAACAAATGAAGAAAGACACAACTCTGATTTGTTCCATGGAGAGAAAAGAAGTCGAATATTATTTAAAAATAAATGTGAATGAACAGCTTTTCCAAAATTGGTTGATTGTCACTGGAGTTGGTTTTCAGGACAAAACTAAGATTCCTGAAATTATAAAAGAGGCTTACAGAGAGAGAAGACTTGCTTTGTTACCTACTTCAGGAATTGCCATCAATATGGAAAACATGGTACCAGTACAATACGACAGAAAGCTCCATGTACACAAGGAAATATCGGAATTTAGAGCGTATTGCTTTCTACCTTTACCTGTTCAGACAGGGCTTACAGTTCATTTAAATGGACATTTCGTTTTAGATCATGAAGCCCGGCATGGTATATGGTGGCCAGATTCTCAGCACACAGATTTGAAGATAATTTGGAATAAAACCTTGATTAAAGAAGTCATTGTTCCGACGTATGCATTAGCTATTGAACATTTGAGAAACCTGCTTTTCCCAGAGTCTTTATCAGACCAACCTTGGGATCAATTAGACAAGTTTCATAAAGTTTTTCCATCAATGAAATTACTGAAAGATAAAATTTGGCAGTATACCTCTACAGAGTTGTATAGGTATGTGGGTCAACACAATTGCAAATTCTTTCCCATTGTTCGCCGGGAAGATCTAAATATTGAATGTTCAGATGAAAGTTCGGTAAAAACAGATTTGGAAAACCAATCCCCAGACAAGAGTAAATCTGATATAAATATACGTATGCACGATCAGCAATTCGAAGTAACATGGACAACACTTCAAACTGCCTTCTTTGATGGAATAAAGTGGCCATTAAGACAAGATCATGCAGCTGAAGGATATTATTTTACATACGGTAAAAGCAGTAAGAAATTAAATGAGTCATGCTCGAAAGATTCTGAATTTCTTGCTCAAAGCTTGAAAAATCTCGGAATGTTGCTTATTGAAACACCACTTTGGGTTTTTAGTAGCATGAAAGATGCAGGAATAGACGGTGTACAGATCGTGTCTCCAAAAGCTGTGCTCAATTTTTTGAAAACATATAAAACAGATGCACAGTACAAGTGTAAAATTGAAAAGGTAAATATTCCTGTCAAACAAACAAGAATGAAGCATAAAAACGTTACACAGTCTCTTCTGTCGTATTGTGTACGGGATAAAGATTTAAAAGCCGAGGACTTTGAACATGTTCCATTACTCATTACTGCTGATGGGCTCCTTCGTGAATTCAGAAATGAAAGAGTCATCTATTTGATAGACTTTCCTGAACTTCTTCCAAGATCAGCTAATCTGATTGCTGATGTTGGACAAATGCGCATACTGAAGAGTCATTCAGCTTTACAAAAAATAATTAAGGAATTAGATGTTTCTGATTTTTCAGAACTTCTTCAACAAAACATCTCACCATCTTGTAGAGCATGCACTGAGCAATCGTGGAATCCTGAATCAAAAAGCATTCCAAACGTCAGATGGATTAAGCTTTTCTGGTTTTTTATAGCCCAAAAATTTCAAGATTTCATCTTTGATGAGCAAATCAGGGAAAAAAAGACAAACTCAGAGCGAGAGTGGTTTCAAATGTTTTCTTCAAAAGTGTTGCAATTGTTTGAAAGGTGGTATTTGGTCCCTGCAATCATCAAACAAAACGAAGGGAAAAATCATTTTCTTTTTCCATTGAAACATGGAAAACGGGTATTATTGCTCATGTTTGGACAAAATGCGATTGAGCAAAAAGCTTTGATAGAGCTTAATTTACCACTTTTGGACAATACATGTTTGCCGACTTACAAAGATCAAGATGGGTTCAACAATTGTCATATTGTATCTAAGATTTTACAAACATTGGCTGCAACAATCGCAAATGTGGAAGATATTTTAAACTGCGTTTTTTGTAATTTAGCAAGGTTATGTACACAGTGTAATGATTCATGTAAGGCTATAATGAAATATTTTGCCCAGAATCTCGAGACTCTCAAAGAAAGTCCAGGATCTAGAGACAAACTCGCAGCTCTTCCGCTCTACTACAGTGACATATATCAGCAATGTGTAAGCGTCCAAAGGAAAACTGTCATTATTTTACCAGAGGACGTCCCGAAATATGGACTTGTGGAATGGAGTAAAACAATGAATACGACGTTCATTGAGGAAGATCAAAGTTTAACTCAGCTCTACCAGTTTGTTGGCTGTAAAGTAGTAACTGACGTCTCTTTTTATATTCAGGTCTTGCTTCCAAATTTTCAAAGATTGCCACCTGAAACGGTCATGTTTCATTTAAGGTATATAAAGGATATTGTTATTCATTCTCTGGAATACTCTAACTGCTTAAATGCACAACGTCAACTAACCCATTTAGATGGTCTGTTGCGTAAAATTCCCTTCTTACCGACAGAGAGTGGTCGGTATGCACGTGCATGTGATTTTTTTAACCCTAGTAAGGATATATTTAAGCTAGAAAATTGCCTTTGCTTATCCTCAGAATTACCCTCAAAACCATTTGACAATCCTGAATGGGAAAATTTCCTAATACATTGTGGAATGAAAAATGAATTCACACCTGAAATATTTTTAGAGTTTGCTATACGATTGCAAAATTTAGGAGATTTGAATGGTGTCACTTCAATTGTACTAAAGAATTCTAGGTATCTTGTCAGAGATTTGTTTCTTAATCGCACAGATTTGCTGAAAAATTGGTCATTTGTGAACGACCTGAAACATGTTCGTTTCATTTGTCCTTACAAGGTGTCAAAAGTGTACACTCAAATAGTAGAACAATATAACAATTGTAATAAATTGATTTGCTTTCGGAATTCAGCTATTCCTACTTGTGACAAACTAATTTGGTCGGTAATGGGAATCATATCCGAGGAGACCTTTGATGCACTAAGATATTTATCTCGCGATGAACAAGTATTAGCAAAGAGGATGTTGGAAATAATTGATTTGCCTCCAGTTAAAAATGTTGTTAACCACGTAACAAACATATGTTTTTCAATAAAAGATCAATTGCCACAGCTCTTAATGGACAACAGAAACGAGAAAGCAGTTTCAAACGTCATGTTCAGTGTTTATGAATTTTTACAAAAACATGGAACTGATGAATATTTTGCATTGCTTAAAACGGTTCCATTTGTTTTTATCAAGAAGAGGGAGATATTAAGTCTTCCACAACGTGTAATTCTTGATATAAATGACGAGGAAGAAATTTTACCCTACTTGTGCAAAGCACCGGTTTTCTATGGACAGTTCCATTCGCTTTTTCGTGACTGTGGAGCAGCAGATACTCTTCTCTGTCAACACCTTGTGAATGTTTTGTATGAAATATATCAGGAAACTGAAGGAAATGAGTTGGAACCGAATGAAATACTTAAAACAAAGAAGACTGTGCAATATTTGTTTAGTAAACTTAAGAAGGAAGAACAAATCAAAATTGAGTCTGTATTATATTTTCCAAGCAAACGTCACAATTTAATACAGAGTGACAAAATGGTATTTATAGATGACGTTCTAATTGAAGGACGAATAGGAAGGAGTTTACCTGATTTAGAATTCTTTGTTGGATTTGATGAGTTGGGAATGGATGTGTTAGATCCTTTGGGCGAAATCAATCTCCTTCCGGAGAGTCATCGACCTAAATTGATGTCCAAGATTTTCAATGAAGAAATGAACAGAGGATGCACACAATCAGCTGCATTTACAGAACATGCTCGTACATTACAGAATTTTTTGAGAAGCGATAAATGTTATTTTGGTGTAATTAGACTTGTCAGAGACGAACTGTATAAGAATGGAAAAAGTTTTAGTGAGGCCAAGCAAACTGAAATTTTTCAAAAGCTGCAACGCGTGACTGTCTTCCAGTTAGAGACACTTGAAACAGTATTGATGTACAATGAATCTATACTACCAAATACAGAAAAACAAAAGAAAGTATTTAGCGAGGAAATAAAGGACGATGCAGGAAACTCTGTTGAGTTACGAATATATTTTAAAGTAAATCATGAAGTAGATATTGCAGATTTGATCTTTGACATCGATAGGAAATTATCAGCAATGTTGAACATTTACCTTGGAGACCCTTTGAAAAAGAATGAAACGTACTTAACAGATGTGTTAAAATGTATTAAGAATCCATGCAAGATAGAAGATGAACTAACAAATCTAGAAATCATGGCAATAGATGTTGGACGGGCTTTGACAATTTTGCCTTTCATGCCAGATTTAGGAGCAGAGATTTCTTTATCTTTGCATCACCTTCTGAACAATTCGTGCACATATATAGAGATAGGAACATATGTGGCATACGAAGTGTATGATCCTATTATTGATGAAGAAGAACCAAAAAATGAAGACACACCTGTGTATATTTTAGCAAGGATTGTAGGGCTTCTTACGCAACATGGTTCACATGGGCTGAATGCCGATGCTTGGGATATGAAATACAAAATTGATGTCGGCAGTGAAAAAGCACTTGTTGCCGAAGCATCTAGAGTGTACAAGTTTGTAAGACAGGAAAACATTGACGAAAATCCTGAAGAAGTCGATGGCGCCAAGGTATTAAAATGGAATATAGACAATGTTAAAGTATACATCAGAGACGTTATGAGAAAAGCCTTTAAAAAATCAAAATCAGAGTTCGACAGAACAATGAAAAGACTAATTTTGCAGCATCATCCTAAAAACTATGCTGAGAATAAGGACTATTATGTTCAACTAAATAAGTTTATACACTTCATTGAAGAAACGCTCAAAAAAGGCGAACCAGTTGACGACAAAGACATTTTTGATTCTTTCAATCCGGAGGTTATTTATCCAATTACATGCTTTTGGGTCATTTGTGATACTCGTGTTAATGAATATGCTAAAAATCACTTAGATTATTCTGGCTCAACAGAGAGGAAAGATGCGCCATTCTTTACTGCTTTTAATGAGAGAGGCTCCCAGCCTGGCCAAGCCAAGAGGTGGTTTAAACAAGCTGATATTGATTTTAAAGCTGCTTTTACAGACCTGAATGGACCAAATGCATACAACTGGACCTGTTATAAATGCCATCAGGTAAGATATACAACCTTACCTTGAATAAAAATAATTTTGTAAATTGTTTCAATAAACATTAGATAATCTATCATTTGTATAATTTTTTTTAGAAAGACTAGCAGAATTGTCAAAACTTTTCCATTTTCATATTGTGCACAAAGTTATTAATTATATAGCTTATACGAGGGGTGTTAGAAAAGTTCGCGGACACATTGAATTACGGAAAATCTATTGTGTACTGTGAATTATGACCTTTGTCTGAACAAATTCCTGCATTTTGTTTATAAGTATGTAAAAAATCAGGTACATTTACTAAAATCTTGAAAATTTACGACGATTTTTACTATGAGGTCATAGGACTCACGGAGCAATCCCTTGACGTAAGGTGACGTGACAACCAGATTACAATCCTTTGTGCCTTGTCGCAGTTCTATAAATCTTCCCTTTCTTCAGATTTTTCTTATCTTTTTTCTACTTTAAAATTGAATATCTATATCAAGACATGTTACCTTTCTACTATAATGTCTTTTGTACTAATTCGGATTGTATCGATTCGGATATTTTTGACATCTTTAAAAACGTCTATGCAGTAAATTGATCAGGTATGAAAACTATGCAAAACCATATAGGCACAACGTCCATGCGATAAGAGGGTACTGAAGTATCGATGGAGTTAATCATTCAAAATATTAATCCTTCCATTTCTATGAAGTCACAACCATTTGAAAACTTTTTTCCTTTGTGTGTGTAGGAAATTCCCGGCATCATCTTGAAAGTTTTAATCTCTTTTTAGCCTTTTTATTGTCTACACATAATTTTTACTAGTGCAGTGCTTCATGACGCTCAATGACGTTCCGATTTTTTGGCTGTGTTCTTAAGTGTTGATCATTTATAAATGGCTATAAAACAATCATATACCCTCCAATTTAATTCAAAATTTCTCCAAGTGACGTTTCACGAATATTTTAGCGATAGGTAAAATATCAAAAATCTCTTTGCGCTACAATTGTGAAATTTTTTATTTTGATAAAGAGTCTCTGTAACGTAAACGTGCTAAAATGGAGCATGCTCCGTGAAGCAAGATTTATCAAAATAAAAAAGTCGTATATTTTTCAATGATCACCGCAATGCACCAAATTTTTGTATATTTATTGGAATATAGGTTAAGATCTTATCTGGAAAGTTTGACCGGTTTCGTGGAAATAGCGCGCTCACAATAGAACTTGTCCGCGAACTTTTCTAACACCCCTCGTACATGTATGTTTAAGTGTAATGTTCATTTTGATTTTGCAGATTCCAACCAAAACAATTTTGTTTTGGAATGCTTACTCTTGAATAAGATTGTTGATGTGTTTTGTAATAAATGCTTTATTGCAATGATTTGACGTCGTGAAATTCATTTCAGAAATGCTTTAAAAAGTCATATTTGAAGAGATTCAAAATAATTCATTTTAATGTTTTTCAGGCGGTTGAAAAAGCTTTGAAAGCCTTGCTATACCAGATAGACGCCAACAAAGTAGCTCTCAACACACACAATCTATCTTCTTTAGCTTATCTAACAGAAGATGTTAATTTGTCGGGCCTTGTTGGCCGTTTAGAAAGTATTACAGGGGGCTATTTTCAGATGCGTTATCCTGATGCTGTACCTGGGGGATGCATACCCTCAGACCTGTACACAAGTGATAAAGCAACCAAGGCAATAGAATATGCAAGTGAAATCTTACAGACCATTCGGCAAAGGATACCAAGTGTTCAGTAGGTAATAAACAAACATTGTATGTTTATGATCGGGGTATCCAGTACACATTTCATTATTTTTTTTTATTTTGACATGATGAACCAAAATGTCTTTGTTTTAAATAGGCAAAAAATATTCCTTATCTTATGTTTCAATTAACTTCCAGTTCTGTATACGTTCAATACGAAGGCAAAAAAAAAAAAAAAAAAAAAAAAGAGAGAGAGAGAGCAAATATTTCCTTCTTTACGTTCATGTACTAATGATAGTAATAGATATGAAGAAATTATCTAGGTAATATAAGTCGAATAAATTTGAACAATTGCTTTGTAAGTTTATAATAGATTATAACTTTATAATGCCGTACTATAACCTTTTAGTTCCTCCTCCTATATGGTCCAACTTCAACCGCTATTGATACTTGTACATATTTACATTTCCAATGTCTTTGTTCAAGATAAAATTACAAAAAGTTAATGTAGTAAAAGTTAATGTACCTGATTTCTCCATGAATGTACTGGTTCATCGATAGGGGGCGGTTAAAAAAATCACTTGCAGGACGGGACAAATAGAGACAAGAAGCGGGGCTTTTAGCACATGGATTGGCGGAATCAATACGTACCATGTAAATATAAGGAATAACTGTCCGATTTTTTGATTTTCGAAATAATTTGGATAAACGCCGAAGGCGTCATGAAATTGAAAAAGAAGACAGTTATTCCCTAAATGAAACATCTAAAACCGAAGGCATTCATTTTAATAAACATGAAATTTTGTTCCCTGCTTTCGGTGTTTTAGTGGACATGTTACCATTGTTAATAACATATTGTGTCAAAAATTAACGCCCTATCATAGGTCATTAAAAAAAATCATCAAAGTTATTTATTTTTGAAAAATTGTGTCAAACATGAAGATCAAGGGATAAAAAATCAAAGCATCCCGGAAACACCTTGTTTCAAGTAACGCATTTGTGAAATATGAAAGCATTATCTCTACTCAATCAAAAATTATAAGGAAACAACTTTAAAGAGATAAGAAATATATGTTATACGTCAAGATTATGGTCACAGGGTAAATATTCACAATATACAGTGACGCCTATTCTCATGTAATGTACATGTGTAATATATAACTCAAAAAATATCTTTTTCTTTCAAAAGTTAAGACCAATTTAAAGTAGAGTTAAAATGGTTGAAAAGTAGGTCATACTTTAAAGTAAAGAGGTCAAAATTCATTGTATATTTGAAAAGGTCTTGCCATTGGTAATGTACATGTGAAATATGAAAGCCTTATTTATTCAAATTCAAAGTTATGACAAATGTTAAAGTGTAATACTCACTATTTTATTTTCTTTTTGATGGTATTTAAAGGCTCGGTAGTAAAAAATAAGTGTACCCAGATTGCGTGAGTATAGTGTAAATTTAATAAACCTACTCTCTCGATTATATACTAGTTTATTTAATGTATAATAATCATTTCCATTTTACATAACAAAATAAATGTTGGCAAACCTCTATAAAAAAATCATCAGGAATAAGACTTTATCAAAACAATTATTATAGATGTTGTCTCGAAAGTTGTTATATTCATTCCGTCTTTCTCGGGAGAGAGATATAACCATTAAGCATCCGTTTGGTTCCTTGATTTAAGTATTTATAAACCACCATAAAACCATTAAATTCTTTATCCGAAATTCCTTTACGTTTATTTTCGCCGAACTCATCAACACTAGCGAAATCATCCTTGTCGTTTATAATCATGTTGTGAACATTTTTTTTCAAACTGGTCTTTACTACTATCAATATTTCTACCTATCTCAAGAAATCCAATGCTTAAATTTGTTTGGTTTCTATTTTTATTTGCAGAACCTAACATGGCAGATTGGATATAAAAAGGGACCATGTATGCCGATCAAGAGAGAAAGTGAATATTTTCAGTTGTGCCTTGTGTATTCATACGAAAATTAACAGAGAGAAAAAATAAAATGCTTTGCATTGAGTTTTGGTTTGTAAGTGGAGGTTGTCCGTTTAAAATTAGATAAATATACATCTTGTGAATAGATTCAAGAAAAGATTCTAAGGTCCATTTTTATAAAATTTCATTTATCTGTGTGTATATACTCGTACATCAAATTTTATACTTACTAATGAACATATTTTTCAAGATTTGACAGTAAACACTGAGATTTAATGATCATTTTGTTAAAATTTTATGTGTAAATAAAGCTAGTTACATGTATTTTACATTCAAATGTAAAGGAGGTAAGATTAAGAGAAGGTTGGGAAACATTGAAACCTTTGAATAAATTGTGATGCAAATATTATTAAATATCCATAAGTATTCACTTTATTTTCCATTTATATTATAATGAAATGTTTCTTTGTAGTACCTATATATATTTTTGTACATACTGTGTTATCTAATACTTTCTTTAATTGAGTTTTCATAAAAAAATCTTTTTTTTTGTTATATTGAATTTTGTTATGAGAATTCTTCATTACTGTAAGTATTTTTAAGGTCTTCCGTCTTCAGCGGAAGACCTTATTGTTTTTCTTCGGTTTCTTTTTCACTTTTATTATTATTTTTTTTTCTTACCGATTTTGTGCACGCGATTTCTCGAAAACGGCTGAACAAAATCTTATGAAACTTTAAGGACGTATGGAACATCACTTGAACCTTATGCGTTTTTTTCCGTTTCGATGACGTCACTTCCGGTCTAGAGATATCGTCGATTTTCTGATTTTTACGGGTCATTTTGTCCACAATTTTCCCGAAAAACGGCTCTAGATAGAAACTTCAAACTTTGAGGCTATGTCTGGAGAGGTGCATCAGGTATATCAAATTTACCGGAAGTGACGCTCAGCGGCGCTCGCTATGGCCCGAAAATAGACCTATCACAAATTTCAAAATTTCTCACACCTTTTCTTCGATATCTTTTTACCTGAAAATATTTTGTGAAAACGTATAGAACAAAAGAAGTGCAGAATTTAAAGATCTTTCAAATGATATCTCGAAAAAACGGCTGGCTCCTAAATTTAAGGGCCTAGAGGGGCCAACAGTTTTTTCTTTATATCTCAAAACGTATTGAGAATTTGTAATACGTCAAAGAAGCAAAGTTGTTCAAAATGACTAGCTTAATCTTTTGAAGTCGTCAGAAAATGTCCGGCGTCGTCACTTCCGGCCAAACCGGACGTAGTCGAAAAATGCGTATTTTTGAAGTTCTTGACAAGTTTTTTGGTAACAAATGTCTCTAGAAGCAAAAAAATAATTTTTTCGTCCGTTGTCGTCACTTCCGGTCAAACCGGAAGTAGCAAAAAATTGCTTATTTTTGCATTAATTAACAAAGCGTTAAAGGATTCAAACCATTTTTAGGCGTTATTTCTCATTTTTGATAAAAATTAATGCTACTTCCGGTCAAACAGGACGGAAGACCTACTCGTTGCTTTGCAACGAGCTTTGCTCTAGTTTCTTTATTGCATTCATAAAATCACATGCATGTATGCGCATAACCTATCATATATTCATACAAGGCCATATGTTATGTTTATATAATTTATTTGTAAGGTATTTTTATTATTTGGAATTATTAGTACTTCAAGATTATCCTTAAAATGTTGTGTGTGTGTGTTTTTTTTTTTGCACCATTTTAATTAAAAATAAAATGCTTTTTATGTTGTTATTTAACGGGAATTAATGCATTGCAGTTGTCGAAGAAAAAAAAATCATAATCTGCATAAGAGTACCACCATTTTTAAAACAAAAATAAAACTTGATTATTAACTTTTTTTGCAATAGCAACTCAGATTCTAAAAGTTGCAAACAAAGAAAAACACGCTATTGTTTATATTTGTTTACATTATTGTTTTAATATACAGTTGTAGATTTTGTATAAATTAACTTTTGAAGTAGAATTTAGTTCAAAAATTATAATTATTTGAAAAATGTAATTTTTTAATCACTATTTTCATTGTTTTCATATAGTGAATTGTTTTAAAGTTACGAAATCACGCAAATACCGCAGCAATAATAATTTTTGACACCAACACCTTGTCTCGTCTTTATTATTGATATGTACGCCATTGAACGTTTCAATAATGAGCCAGTGATCAAGAAATCTTGGTTTTATGCTTCGTCGTATTTAATGGCTGAAAAAAAAGATGACTTTAATTAAGAAATAAAGGAGATACTATAATATTCAGTGCTGAAAATATAGTATTTTAAGTGTACTGATTTGTTATGATTACATGTACAACTAACGTTTCAGTGTTTAATTTTGCTATGGAATAATTCTTTGAAGTGTTGAGTTCATGGGATTGTTGGTTATCCTGATTATGTCAATGATTATATGCGTCTAATTAGATAATTTATAGTATATTCTCCCACGTTTCCACTTTGTTAACATTTACGTGCACGTGGAAACAATTTTATGATATATTGTATGATTTCTTAGCAATCATTGCAACAAAATTTTGAGGTTTAAGTAGACTTACATGACAATGAATATCTTTTGTTCCAGATTTAGTTTTTAAGAATACAGGAAGTTCATACATTGAATATAATTTAATTATGATAATAAGAATAATGTACCTTAAAATCCTGTTAGTAGCTTTTATTACAAAGAATCTTATTGTTTAAAATGAAGACAATTAAAATGTGATTTTAATTTTAAATCTGTTTATGTGTTCATGTGCATCAATTATCAAAATTGTGTATCTACTACATTTTAAATTTGGTAGGAAAAAGTGTCAGAATAGAAAAAAAAAGAATTTTCTCAAGAATCATTGGCCCAATTTCAACCAAACGTGCCACGAGGCATCCATAGGTGACGGGAATTCAGGTTTGTTCAAATGAAGGACCATGACCTATTCCAAGGAGGAGATAATAACGAATTAATGAAAAGTTGGTGTCATCTTTATAGAACTTATTTTCAAGAACCATTTGAAAAGAAAAGTTGAAAATGTTTAAAACCTTTATTACAAAGTGAAGATTTCAATTTATTAAAAAATATCCATTGGGTATGATGGGACCACAATAAATGATCAAAATTTTACATATGAATATATCAGGAAAATCTTTGAAATCCTTCCCAAGAAAAAAAGGCACAATGAAACATAATCAAACTGAGCATCGATATCCTCAGATAGTGTACAATCAAATTCAAATCATTACCTTCAAGAGTAGAAGGGGGCCACGATTAATAAGGGGGTCAAAAATTTACATAAAAATATATGGGAAAAAATTTAAAATATATCTTCTTACTAAGAATAACAAAAGCAAGCATGATCAGACATATTGATATGGAAGCACCCCCAGATAGTGTAGATTCTATGTTGCTCAAATCTTAAACCTCAGGAGTAGAGTATGGCCACAATGAAGGGGGGGGGGGGTAAAGTTATATACGTAGGGAAAATCTTAAAAATCTTTTTTCAAGAAGGACAACTCATGGTTAGTGTTAGTCATATTGATATGAAAGCATCCTCAGATAGTGCATATTCAAATATTTGCAATTCATGACCTCGATCCAGGGAAGGGTTAGTCATATTTATATTAAAGCATCCTCAGATATGTACTAGCATATTCAAATGACTTCCCAGGGTAGGGGAAGGCCACAAATGAGGGTCAAATTTATAGGGAATAAAAAAAAACTTCCTCAAGAATAACCAATCATAATTGTTCATATTGATATTGAAGCATCATCAGATTTGTAAATTTTAAAATTAAAAAAAAAAAAAAAAAAAAAAAAAAAAAAACATCAAGAAAAACAAAGCCACAATTTTTCATATTGATAGAAAAGTGAAGATTCTTGCACGTATATGTGTATGCAAGTTTAACTCATGATCCCTTGTGGTAGGGTGAGGCCACAGAGAGATTACTGATATTGCTAAGATTAATTAATTGTGTGTTTTTATAATTGCATTCAGGGACGTAGCAATATGGCCTGTCCGTCCTTCCCCCAACATTACCTTTCTTAAAGAAAATGTTCATTGAAAGGTTGGTTGCCCCCCCCCCCCTCGCACTTCTACCCACAGTATATAGTGATATAAAGGAAATGTAGTATTGTATGCCAAAAAAAAAAATTGAAAGTGAAGGGAAGTTGGCCTTGAAAAAAGTTTGCCACTACCCCCCCCCCCCCTCCCCAAGAAATAGGATTTCTGAGTTTGGGCAACTTCCTTGTCTTCTTGAAAAATAATTGTCCTTAAATTGTTTCAATTTTTGTCAAATTATATCCCCAAAATCTTTTTCTTTTAAAAGATAACATAATTTAAAAGTTAAAAAAATAATTTTTGTTAGGTCACACAAAAAATAATCAATGTGGATATCGCGTGTATTCACCTTCGAAAAATTAAATTTATCGCTTACATCTCACAAAGAACAAACCCGAGCATTTTTTTCATAACAAAGTACTTATATACATGTACCTGTACACGGACAAAATTTCAGCCTTCATAAACTTCATAAAAAAACTTAAAAATATACGATTTTCCTTTATTCTTTAAATATGCATGCATATTAATATAAAAATTACTATATGGATTGTATTTAATTAATTTCTTAATTTTTAAAAGATATATAATGACTTAGGCTTCTACTAATGGAAAAAATACTCGGGTTTGAATTATCTTTATAATTAGATATAACCGCAGGCGCGCATCTAGAAATTTTTTCCAAGGGGGGGGGGGGGGGGGGGGGGGGAGGTCCACCTCAGTAAAAAAAATCCAATCCCAGAAATTTCTTGACAAGAAAAAAAAAGTAAAACTCGCCCCAAACGTCAAAAACATATTTTGTGGGGGTGAGGTGGGGGTGGGGTGCGTGACTTCTATTGCCTCAAATCTTTAACTTTTCATACCCATTTCACACATATTCGCGTTTATCAAGGGGGGTCTGCGTTTTCCAAGGGGGGTCCATGGTAACTTTTTTCTTTTTTTACTATATACATTTTTATCCTGGTAAATTCCAGGGGGGTCTTGACCCCCCCCCTCTAGATCCGCGCATGAACCGATAATTTTTTTTTCCAAGGTGACTTCACAACAGATCTAAAGTTCCGGAACTTCTGTTTGTCAGTAAAGTTTTTGATCCAAGTTTTCCTTGTAAAGATTGTTGTAATAAACTATTAAATCAATCTTATAATTTATTTTTATATATTATCTTTGTAATGACGTACTTTATTGTGTAAGATAATATGTGCCTGTTTCGGATAAAGCGGCTTTAAGGCAGGCCCACACTTTTACGGATCCGGTTTTAATTTTACACACCAATATAAAATTTTGATTATCCTTATCTATTGAAAAAAAAATCTTTTGGATGATTAAAAATAATTTAGCAAGTATATATTTGTTTATTATAGTGTCATTGTGCACACAAAGCATTTAATGTACATTATTTATAGGAATAACCACTTTGCACTCTGTCCATAGGATCTATATGTAATT